TCCTTTGTACATGCTGCTTTCTTTGTTTCTAATACTTTAGCCACATCAACTCCTATGTATCCCTCAGGCTGCAGCCCAAGAGTTGCCTCTGCTGAGAAGCCTTGCTCTACACTGCCAGGCGGAGTTAAGGAATTGCTCCTCTGCCGGAGCCCCTACCTCACTGCCCTGTGCTTATGTGATCATGAGTCTGCTTCTTCCACCTGGCTCTGAGCTCCCCACAGGTCCCTGGGCCCAGAGCAAGTACTTAGGACAGCCTTGTGGGGAGTATGATCAGATGCAAGAATCAACTGGCAGAATTTGGCTCAGATGAGGTCTGAAGTGGACTGAGGGAGAGAAGGCAATGCGTAAGAGCAGTGTCCAAGTGGAGTAGCTTGCAGGAGGACTGGCTCTGTCATCTGGTTGATAGTGGCCCCAGGAATACGTGAGGGCACAAGTGTATCAACGATGTAGGAGACTGGGCCATGTTTTAAACTGAGCTCCTGCCACTGGTGGCTCCTCCTATCCTGAAGGCCTTCTCCTTGAGTCTGTCCAGCCACCAGAATTCAAGGCTTAGACCAAGGTCAGGCCCCTCAGAACAGAGGTGTGGAAAAGGGAAGAAGAAAAGGAGGTGCCTCTGGGGATCAGCCTAAAGTGTTGGCTCAGATGTCACTAGCAGTCGCCATTCCTGGCAAGATCCCCTTGGCACGGTTGTCTGTTCACCAGCATTGGGGACACCCAGCACTCTTGGAACTCTCAGCAGGGTCCTGGGGGAGAAGGAACAAGCATCCAAGAAGGAGCAGCTCTGGCCCTGCAGGACCTGCTGTGTAGGTTGGAGAAGTCGGTGTGATTTGGGGGCTGCTGGGAGTCCCCCAAGTGCATTGATGACATTTGGAATTCTGCCATGGGAGACCTATTCCTTTGGCTTTGTTTGATCTGAAATGATGATCTCTTAGAACATTTGTACTCCTAGGTCCTCTCCAGTCATTCAAAGCACAATGGGAGGAAGAGGTTCCTGTTGCCTCTCAATGGGGTGATGATGGGGTGACACAAGTGATAGAGACAGAAAAGGGAGCTGAAACCAAGTGGGATAGGGTAAGGGAAAGCTGTCCCATTCTCAGGTGTTTCTCCCACCCTGGGCCTTGCTCATAAAGGACCACAGCTATCAAGAGTACCTGCTTCTCTCCTGAGGGCACAAGCAGCACAGGGTTGAGCCCAGACAACCTGCTATCTGAGTGATCTTGGCCAATGGACCTAGCCTATCTGGGTGTGTTGTTGTGTGTAAAATGGGCATAACATGCCTATTTGGTGAATTTTTTATTTGGATTCAAAGAGGAAATATATGCATGTGGTTCCTGTTGGCTGGCACACTGTCATCCTATCTTGAGATGCCGGGATCACAGCTGTGATCTAAGTGGCCCTGTGCCAAGGGGACATCTCAGGAGGATCCTGGGGGAAGTGACTGGACAGTCATCTATAGCTGTGTTGGCTGATGGGGCTGTTCTTTTAGGTTCTGGGTGCCCAGGTCAGCCCACACTCTGCATCCCAAGTTGACTTGTTGCTGGGAAGGGAAGGGAATCTCCACCGTGTGCCCAGCACTGGCCTTTTTGTGCTGCCCTGTTGAAGCACCAGAGAGGTCCTGGCTGAGACTACACAGCTAAGTGGGGACATTAGTGTTAGCAAGGGTTAACTAGTGCTCTTGAAGGGGAGGAGGTTGCACAGATGCATGGTCCTGCCCCACGCCTTCCAGGTCCTGGGTCCTCCTAAATAGCCTCCAAACTCCAGTCCTGCTCTGTGCATGTCAAGAAAAGCATTTAGCTCTGCCTCTACCCTGGGGACTCTGCAGCCCAGGTCTCCCCTTCCAGGCCTGGCTCCAGCAGCCTTCCTTGGCACTGGGGAAGAGCAAGGTTGTTCTGCGCACCTTTAGTCAGGGCTATTGTTGGGAATTGACCTGTCTCTCCAGCTGTCCCCTGTTGAGTCTGTTCCAAGCTCCCTGCCTAACCATACCAAGGCAACAGGGAGTCCTGAGAAGCAGGCAGGCCCCAGGTGAGGAAACAGTCTCCTGGGAGTGAGACCTCCCTGGGCAGACTCCTATTTGCCACCTCCCAGCTGCTGAGTGTGGAAGAGAGAGTCCCCATCTATATGCAGTGTCCTTGTGGTTTAGTGCAGTTGTTGATGTGGGGGTTTTCACATATCCACCTGGGGTGCATGTAGCCAGTGCTTCCAGCCAGACCCCTCTGTGCAGAGCTCCTAGAACCTTCCCCCTCCAGGGCCTGAGAAAGGAAGAGGGTGCCCTGAGGGAATGCAGGCTCCCTGAATCCCTTGGTGACACTGCAAGCTGGGAAAGGGGGGTGAGTTCACATTTCTCCCAACAGCAGCAACTGCACTGTGCAGGTAGAGTCCTGTGTGCCTTCGTGTGGAGACTCAGGCCCTACCTCCCAAGGCTGAAGGAGGGTCCAGCCTCCAGACAGCGGTGTGCATGTTACCATGATGACACTTCACTCCACGTCTTCTCCAGTAAGGCTTATCTAGCTAGTAAAATCTGGGTCACCTTGGACAAACAGGGACTGCTGTGTGGGCTCAATGTGTTGCTTGAAATCCCCATGTGATGACCAGATGTCCCTGGGGGCCTCCACTGTGGCCCAATAGGTGACCCTGGTTCCAGGGCGGCTGGTATTCCTGGGGCCTGGAGAAGCCAATTAGGGCAGCCAGCTTCAATGACTACAAGCTACTGTGACCTCAAACCCAGGCCAGCATCCTGCAGGCTCTGGGCTCCTGCAGGCTCTGGGCTCCTGCCCTGCTGAGGTTTCCTGGGGAGGATCAAGGAGTCCAGAGATAGGAGACCCTCAGAGAGGGCTCTCTGCCTCTCACTGAATCATGCTTACACTGCCTCCAGAACTTGTGTCCTTCTACCTCAGTTCTGTCCCCAGGAGCCATACAGAGATGATTTTCTCTCTGAGTCTTCTTATCACAAAACATCTGTCCTGTGGCAGGATCCTGCTGCAGTTACATGCCAGAGCCAGCAGGACCTACCCTTGGCGAGAGGGTGCATCACTCTGGTTCTGTATTTTTTTCTCCCAAGTACACATAGCAGCCCCTGCCCAAAGTAAAGCCCTCTCTTAGCCTCCATACTAATGCAGTTCCCTTGAAGGTGGATGCCTGTGAGAGCATCCTGAGCTTGTGACTCGTGGCTTATCCTGCTGGTTCCCCTCACCCCTGGCACCCGGCTTAGGTCTTGGCAGACCTGAAGATACCAATGAGCATCTGCAGGGCTAAGTATGTGGATGTGCCTTGGACACACCCTGCATCCAGGCAGAGCCCCATAACCCTGGGAGATGGCCCTGTCAACCTGAGACCATAATGGAGCACTCTGGGGTAGCGGAGAGGGTATCTTATGACAGAAGAGGTTTCAGGGAGGGTGTCACCAAGGGGTCCCCTGCTGGGCTGAAGGGAGGTAATTGGCCAACAAGGCACAAGGTGCAGAGAGGCCAGGAATTGGCACTGGTGAAATACAGAAGCGTGGATATGGCCAGGCAGGTTCAAGGGCTCTGCATGTCCAGGACGATCACATCTGCCAAAGCTGGAAAACCACGTAGCAAGGCTATTTCCAGGCCCAGGGGAGCAGCCTCCCAGGGGAAGTTTGTGAGACCAGATGTGAAGACACCTGGATGTCACCTGTGTAGGTCCCACTTTTCATGCACTATTAAACATAATTAGTAATTACCTCTGTTTGAACAGCCAATGGACAAATCGTTTCCTCCCTGAAATAACCAGTTCTAACAGTGCCCTTTCACACACCCAACATCGGTCCAGGGAGAAGAGTTTGGGGGCCTCCCAGATGTATCTGGATTTACCCCAGACTGTGGTATTACTGATGCTCTAATCACACCTTTCCTTTCTTGACCGGCTACTATGTCTCACACTTAGTTTGGGGGACTCTCATCCTCATGGCAATTGTATGAAATAGACACTATTACCCTCATTTTATAGATGAGGAAACTAAGGCGTGGGGAGGTTAAATTACTTGCTCAGCGTGATTCAGCTGGGATCCTAACCCAGGTGTATCTGGTTCTAACACCTGCTCTTTTTCTTTGCATGACATCAAATCATGAAGAGTTGGAAATGAAATCTTGGTAAATTTGGTTGCCAGTGACTTAGTTGTGGTCTCACAGCTGCTTACCCATGAAGTCTGATCCACCATTAATGAGTGAGTTTCGGAGTAGATGATCTTGAAAACACCCCTGCAGCTGCTTTAGAGCCCCACAGCCGGCAGGCCTGCTGCGAGCAGAACAGGGGAGCAGAACAAGGGGAAACAGGGTGGGCCCCCGGCCACACCAGCCCAGGCCAGAGGGATCAAACCAGCTGCACCCTGGACTGTGGGAAGGGGAACTCTGTTAGCATTAGAAAGAATTCTATCAAAGGAGAGCTAGAACGATATTCCAAAATTTTAGTTACCGCTCACCAATTTCAAAACTATCCTGAATCCTGATCTTTCCCTTCATGGCTCATCCTGTGGCTGAGTGGGTCATGCCAGTGATTGTCCAACGAAAGCCAAAAATCCTACAGTTGCAGGGCATCTCCCGGCTCCTCTCTTTTTCACATCCTGTTAGAATATGAGCAATTTGTGTCTGCCCCGGTATCATGTTTTTGTGCTCTGTTTTTTATACATTTCCAGCATGTTACACCTGTGCCCAGCCCTGAGGAGACTCTGGGGAAGCCGGAGTGCACTTGGACTTGTACTCCAGCAAATCTGGTAATGGGTTTAGATTCCCATTGTCAGTCTGGGCCTGGTGGGGCTGCCTGCATGCAGCTTGCAGTCTACACTCACTGGCTAATGCTTGAAAGTTCAGACTTGAGTTTATAGGTGACCAAGAGATGTTGGCATACATGTTGAATAAAAGTGCACTGCAGATTATTCTGGGAAGTCTTCACATGTGAGTCAAGAACTGGCGTGTTGGCTTGGGGTTCTTGGCAGGGTTCTCTCTGCATCCTCCTTCTTAGACCACTGCCCTTTGTCTCCGCAGGCCCCCCACCCTGAGCGGCAGCCCTGTCATCTCTGACATCTCCTTGATTCGGCTTTCCCCGCACCCTGCTGGCCCTGGGGATCCCCCCTTCAATGCCCCCCACCCGTATGTGAACCCCCACATGGAGCACTACCTCCGCTCTGTGCACAGCAGCCCCACGCTCTCCATGATCTCTGCAGCCAGGGGCCTCAGCCCCGCTGATGGTGAGTAGAGCCAGGGATTGGGAGGGGGAGCTGGGACAGGGCCCACTGGGTCAGTAGGCCAGCCTCACTCACTCTAATGCTGTGACTACCCAGTCTTCATTCCCTCGGACAGTGGCCCTGCTGGTGTCCCTTTCCACTACCTCTAAAGAACAGAGTAAGTGAATGGAAAGCCAAGAGAGGCGGGGGTCCCTTGGGCTCATTAAAGAGCCCTTCAAAAACATATGCAGCCTTAAAAAAAGATGGAGACTTTACCTCTTTTATGTTTACATGGAGGGACCTGGAACATATTCTCCTGAGTAACATTTCTCAAGAATGGAGGAAAAAGTATCCAATGTACTCAGTACTTCTGTGAAACCAACTTATATTTACTCATACTTTGTTATGAAAGATAGAACACAACTATAGCCCAGGATGAAAGAGAGAAATGGAATGGGGAGGGGTTTGATAGAGGGAGGGTAAAAGGCAGGACCACGCCTATGGAGCATATTGCAAGGGGACAAGTCAAATCTGTCAAGTGTAGAACATAAATGTCTTAACACAATAATCAAGTAAATGAGGCGAAAGGTACATTGATTGGTTTGATGTAAGCACATCAGATCGTATAAAAAATCAACACATTGTACCCCACATATGCATTAATGTATTCATGATTTTTTAATAAAAAAAATAAAGAGTTCTCACCACACACACACACAAACATATGACTTATCATCATCATGGTAAGGGTCTGATCAGGCAGGGCCTGTGTAGGCGAGAGCCACTGTTTGCAATAAACCAGAGTCTATAGAACTGGTGCCGAGTAAAGGTGATGTCATGTGAGGGTGTCTCATGTGGGAGAGAGACAGAGCTGGCTGGCTATTGCCTGCATCTCTGCTGTATCTGCTCCTTGCCGGTCAACACAGGTGGCTACCAGGTGTCAGCCCATGTCCCCAGGCTCCAGGGATGAGCCTGTGGCTTTGTGTCTCTCTGTTTAGCTGCCTGAGAGAGAGAATTGATTGGCCTGGCCCAGACATCAGATGGCTACCCTCAGCATGGTTAATTTGAACCAGAAAGGGGTAAGGTCACATGGTACAAAGTAAGTCTTTCAGATCTAAAGTTTTACACTTCAAGCTGCCATCCTATTCTCTCCCCCCTCCCACCCGCCTCTCTTTCTCTCTCTTCCTCCTTCCCTCCCTCCCTCTCTCTCTCTCTCTCTTTCTCTCCCTCCCTCCCCCCTTCTCCCTCTCTCTCACATACACAGAGGACATAGAGGACATTTGGTAGCTAGCCCCACTCACGCTACCCATGCTATCTCCCTGGGAGATGCACCCCCACTCGCAGCATAGAATGTGCACCACCCGTTACCTCTCATTGTTCCTATCCTTGAAAGCAACCAAGCTGCATCTTTTCAAAATATGCCTGAGACTACCTCTCAGACTAGAGGACATTTGCAGCATGCACTTGTGAGCCCTTTGAGTCCCTTGTCACTACTTCCATTCTCCCTTTCTAGCTCATGGGTGTTACCCTGAGCCAAAGCAGAAGTCTGGTTCTTAGAAGGTGCAGGATGGAGTTTCAAAATGAAAAGGAGGGTCTGAATGTGTCCTCAATGTGCAGAAAGGCCCCCTGAAGCATCAGCTGGTCTTCTCAACAGGGAGGTTTACACTTTGGTCCTTACCAAAAAGAAACCAGACAAGGTGAATGGTTGCAGCTGCAGAAAATGAACATGGCTACCCAGAATGTGGTGCCATTCTGAAATGGCCTCGTAGGGTTGGGACTCATCCCTGAATACTACCTGTATCCTCTCAGTGGCTCTTACCAAACTGGGGTGCCCTGAAAGCTGTACTGTCCCCCCGCTGAGCGGCGGTCTTGTGGGCAGTGGGCTTGGGCTTGTCCTCATCACTCATGATGGCGCAGCCACTGAAAGGCTGCTGGGAACATGAGCATAAAAGTCTGGTTCCAAATGTTGCCCTGGCATTAGCACTCACATGTGATATAGTGGGCGGAGTGCTGCCCCCCTCAAAGATATATCTAAACTCTAATCCTGTAACCTCTAGGTATTCCCTCATTTGGGAAAAGTCTTTGCAGATGTCATTAAGTTAAGGATCCTGAGCTGAGGAGATGATCCCAGGTTATCTGCATGGACTGTAAATCCAATGATAGGCGTCCTTGTAAGAGACCCACAGGGAGGACAGACATTCGTGCCCATGCAGGGCAGGTGTGGAGGAGAAGGCAATGTGAAGACAGAGGCCGAGGTGGGAGGGACGTGGCCACTAGTCAGGGATGCTGGCAACCACCAGCACTGGAAGAGACAAGGAACCATACAGGGGTTGGGAAACTGCAGCCTTCTGATTTCAGAATTGTTCTTTTATAAGCACCAAAGGAGGCAAGAAAATCTTCATTGTTCCCTGGTGCACCCCTTTTAATAAGAGGAGTTGCTATGTGCAGTTTGGATTCAGTCAAAAGGCTGCCCTTAAAGACCAGGAAGGCCACATGTTTCCTTAAGGCCCCAGGTTCCCCCCTCCTGTAAACTGTTACAGTAACCCAGGAAATTAACATGAGTGGTGACAGTTCTCTCAGGACCTGGGCCCGCATGGTCCCTGAGAGATGTCCATAGGAGGAACAGAGAAATGGGTGCCTTCCTGGAGATGTTCAGGAATCAAGGACACTGCAGCCTCCACCAACCGCAGTGTGGCCTGTGTAGAGCTGGGTGGTGAGAGGGGGCAACCTCTGGCAGAGAGGCCATCAGCTGGCGGAACAGTGCTTCATGTCTGTGCTCAAGATAAGCACCAATGTGACTGGAACACCCACTTGTTCTCCTCACAGCCCAGGAAGCCACAGGGAAAGGTTCAACACCAGAGGAGACCTGGCTAATTTGCATGGCCCTGACTACCACAGGGATAGACTAGACACCTTGAGGCCTTGCCAGCCCTGGACCAAGCTGCCAAGTGACCGGAGCAGATCAGGGCAAGAGAGCTCTGTCAGGGTTCAGTGCCTATAGCCCAGCAGCTAGGGCACCAGCCACGTACACTGGAGCTGGTAGGTTTGAACCCAGCCCAGGCCTGCCAAATAACAATGACAACTACAACCAAAAAATAGCCAGGCGTTGTGACAGGCACCTGTAGTCCCAGCTATTTGGGAGGCTGAGGTAAGAGACTTGCTTAAGCCCAGGAGTTTGAGGTTGCTGTGAGCTGTGACGCTACAGCACTCTACCCAGGGCAACATAATGAGACTCTATCTCAAAAAAAAAGAGAGAGCTCTGTCAAGAGGTTCTTTTCTGTGTTCTGCTCTGTGTCTGCCCCAGAGCTTGCTTGTGTGAAGCCTGGGAAGTTTGTCACTGATCCCCACAGCATCCACCAGACTGTGTCCTGGGATCTCCAGGGAAAGCTTCAGGGTAAAGTGGGCAGGCAAGAGGGATGGAGAGGGCACTTTAGGCAGGGACAGAGAGGCTGTGGATGGATGGTCAGCCAGTCTGGAGGCCAGGACTGTCTGGAGGAACAGCAGGAGATGGCGAGGAGGAAGGGGGGGATGGCACCTCCACTGACCATTTCTCCTCAGCAACCGAGCATGCAAGAGATCTTATATGGTATTTGCCAAGGCTAGTAGCCAGAGGCCATGCTGTACAGTGGTTAGGAACTTGAGCTCTAGATTTAGGGTCTCACACCTGGTAAAAAACAGGACTCTTCACAAGTGTATTTGGTTTCCAACGCCCCTTTCTTCCCTGACACCACACTGCCAACGGCCAGGCCCTCTTGTTTACTCTGAATTTGATTCCCCCTGCCTCTTCCCAGGCAGGGCTATATATAGGGTTCTGAGGTTCCAGCCTCAGGGACAGGGAGTGGATAGGTCTTGGTGGATGAGGAGCTTTACCTGGCCAGGTCTGGAGTCTTCAGCAGTGGCCTCACCCTGAATGTTCAAGCTGAGTCAGGCCTGGCCCCACCATGCCTCCATGTACTTCTCTTTGCTGTGAAGCCTCTGCTGGACTGTGGATCATATGGGCTGGGCTATTGCACAGCCTTGGGGACAGGAGGTGGAGGTTTATGAATTTCAGGAGATAGAAGAACATGGAGGCCAGTATCTTATCTCCCCCAATAGCAGCAGCAGCCCATGCTGGTCCAGCCGGGCCCAGCTTGGGGCAGACAGTGGAAGGTATGGGGGAGCGGGGGGTCACCCAGGAGGGACCCCATAGGCCAAGTGTATGTTTCTGTTTTCTTTGGTGGGAGAAGGTGAGCCCAGTGCCAGATTTTGACAGCTTCTCTCTCTCTCTCTCCCTCTGCCCACAGTGGCCCAAGAGCACCTTAAGGACAGGGGACTGTTTGGCCTCCCTGCCCCAGGCACCAACCCCTCAGACTATTACCACCAGATGACCCTCATGGCGGGCCACCCTGCACCTTACGGGGACCTGCTGATGCAAAGCGGGGGTGCTGCCAGCACGCCCCATCTCCATGACTACCTCAACCCAGTGGATGGTAAGTTGGGCCAGGGGAGCCACAGAGGGTGGTCTGGGAGCACTGAGCATATGGGTTGGCAGGTACCCCCTGGGGCTAAGGAGGGCACTCTGTTCCCTTTGGGGTGAGGGGCCTGCCGTGACTGCTGTCACAGAGAGACTGAGTCTGTGGACAACACTGCCAAGTCACCACAGGCAAGGAGTAGTTTCGGCATTGCTAACTCCATGGCAAATACTCCCTTCTGTCTCTGTGGAACTTACAGTGTACTAAGAGAAACAGACACTCCATGGCATTAGGAAATTAGATACTAAAACGGCTAGTTGTGAATGGACCAGGGGAAACAAAGATGGGATGGGGGAGGGGCAGGTGCACTTTGGCTTGAGGAAATCAGATGAAGCCTCACTGGGAACATGATGTTCAGGAAGATGACATTGGAGCAATTGAAAAGGGTGAGCCTGGCAGAAGTGAGGGGAAGAGGATAGAGCACGTGCAAAGGGCCTGAGGCAGCAGTGTGCCTGCCAAGCTCAAAAAACAGCCAGGACGCCAGCAGTGGGTGGTGGGGCAAAGGAGGGGTAGAAGTGGGGGTGAGGCCCAAGTTTTAGGGTTATGCTAGCCAGTTAGTCACTGGAGTGAGCTGAAGCTGGGCAGAGGAGAAAAGACATCTGACCAATCCTTGACGGAATCGTCTTCTGTGCTGATTTGAGAATTGATTTAGGAAACCAGTTAGCAGAGGTGAGGAGAAATGGTCACGTTTCCGATATAGACCATAAAGACTGAGCCTCAGGTTTTATTCCCAGGTTGAATGTGGAGTCAGAAAAAGAGAAGGGGTTAGTAATTGAGACAGATGCTGTAATTGAGACAGGGTGGGGCCCTTTGGTGAGGCAAGAGGTCAGGTGCCTTGGATTAAGTTTTTGGTGCCCTTCCTCCCACCAAATGCTTTCACAGGGATGCCTGTGGTCCCCAGACAGCCAGCCAGCCACTGAGGTCAGCACAGAGCACCTGTCAGGGAGGAGAGGCGGGGTGGAACAACTCAGCAGCCCCCCAACTTTAAGATGAGCAAACTGGGCTCCCACATCAAGTGACTTGCCATAGGCCTGGTGCTGGGATTCCTCACCCTACCCTGTTTGTTATCAACATCGTCTGTTCTTCTCTGGAGAGGTGGGTGTCATCTCCAGTACCACAGTGAGCTCCAGGCCCCACTGTGCCAGGGGAAGGAAGCAAGGCAGCGTGGGCAGACCTGGCTCAGGGCCTGATGGGCACCTTGTCCTTGCTGTTGTAGCTGAGTCCAGAGGTGGTGACCATCTAGACAAGAAGGGGTAGGGCAGCAATCCTGAGCCATGTGGCCATTTAGAGTACACACACTGAATAAGGGCACATGTGTGAACCTGGCCTGGTACCTGACATACAGTAGATGCTCAATTAATGCTGGTTCTGGCATCTTTGCACCAGTATCCTTTTCCCTCCTTAAGTCTACCCCGTCTTACAGGACTGTGTTGTTCCATGGTCAGCACTGCTGTCCACCATTGCTTAAGCCCAGGCTACAGCCCACCCTGGACACCTTTCCCTTGCCATTGTCCCATCCATCCCTACCTACCCCCAGGCCTGCCAGCTATGGCCTGTCACCCTTTCTGGGACAGCTAGTTATTTGCCAGGTGCTTAGCACTGCCTTTGGGCTGCCTGTCATCCCGCAGCCCTATCTTTCATCCCTTCTACCATCTTGGCTGCTAGTGCCCCCCAGATAAAATTCAGACTTTAGAATATAGTTGGGGTACCTTCCTCTCAGCCTCCTCTCTCTTCATATGCACACTGCAGTCCTGCCACACACTGCCCCATCTGCAGGCCCCATACGCCTGGACAGGCCTTCTCCTGACACCCGAGCTGAATCCAGCCCCAGACCTCTGGGGCCACCAGCCAGCAAGCGCCACTGCACCAGCAGGACCCAAGGCGCCCAACTGGAACTGGCTGACACTTCTCCTTATGTATAACCAGATGGCTATGCCAGCGGGTGTGGGAGCAGATCTGGGAAGGAACAGGCCCTCTGTGTTCATCGGGTGAGTAAGTGAGTGGCACTTACAAAGCAACTTGGAATGGAAAGATGCTAACCAGCCAGGGAAGAAAGTGCTCCGGGGAGAGCAGCTGGTGGCTTGCAGGGAGCCTAGAAGGAGGCTGGGAACAGCTCAGCTCTCCAGGCAGCTTAGCATCTGACAGCATCTGGGGCTGAGCAGCTCTGAGGATCAGGGAGGCCAGCAGGAGGTGAGCTCACCGGCGGGCGGGAGCACTCCCACCTCACGTCACTGCCTCTGCTTAACTCATCACGCCCACACCATCCTTTCTCTGCTTCCGCCCTGGGAACATGCCTGGCTCAGGATCCAGATTCCAGACTCAGTCAAGGCAGGGATATCAGTTTCTCCGGCCCAGGCATGGGTGGGGGTGGGGAGTTTTCTTAACCATGAATTTCAGGGAGAGGCAACTTCTTTCCCTCTGTTGCCAATCAGTTGCAGTCCAAGGAAATCAGAGTACTCCAGGATTATCTCCTATATTTGTTACTACTTAATATTTTTTTTTTCCAAACCAGCTTAAACTAGAACCAGAACTTTTGCTCCAGCTTTTAAAAATGCTCTAGGCACTCAGACTCAGCTCCTGTGCCTACGCAGACATCTTACGTCAATCTCTGAGAGACGCTAAACACAGCACTGAGGCTCTCAGTTTAGGCCCGAGTCCAGCCGAGCCCAGACCTGCCTCTGCAGTGTCCCCTGGCCCCCTCCTCTCCCACGAACCACAGGAGCCTGAGAAAGCCTTGCCAGTGCCTGTGTTTTCAGCAGGTCCAAGCAGTATAGGTCTGCAGAGGGTTCCTCCTGGGAAGCCTCAGACCACCCAGTAGAGAATGTGAGTGGATCTTTCCATCAGGTCTTTTTTTACTTAGCAGTTTCATGGAAAAAAATAGTGTAAGGCATCACATAGTGCTGAGGGCAACATGGTTGGCAGTGTGGTTCAGGAGACCTGTGGAAGTGTCTTGGTTCTTTGGAGGACTTTTATATTCATACTAAGGAGCTGCCTATAAACATGACCTTGAACATGTTAGCTCTATGAGAGTGCATGGGGCCTCGGGAGCTGGGGAGAACAGGTTTCCTGTGTCTCTCTCTGCCCCTCGCTCTTAGGCTTACACACACTCATTTGTTTAGCAGGTATTTATTAAGCACCTACTGTGTGCTGGGAACATGGCAGGAGCAGCACACAGCCTTGCCCTCATGATGATTGTGCCAGTATAGCTGTGGCTGCTCTATGTAAGCTCCCTGGAGGGATGAAGAATGCCTACTCTGAGCTGCCACCCCACTGATCTCACCTTCCCTCATGTTGTGAAAGGAGGGAGCATTGTCAGGGAGAGAACTTTCCAGAGGCCCTGCATGTCCAGCCAAGCCCACCGAGATGGGGTCCTGCAGGCAATGAGGCAAGCAGGGCAGAGGTGTAGGAATGTCACAGGAGTCCTTGTCCCACAGGGCCTTGTCCCTAGCCCACCCATTTTCAAGCCATCAGCACAATTTTTACTTTAGCCAAGTGCCACCTGCACAATTGTGTATTAAACAATACTTATAATAGGCTTACCTTTTTGGGTTAAAAATGGATTTGAAAATAGAAACTTTTTTCCTGAAATGGGAAACCTGACCCTATCTAAGGAGCTGAGTCCCCTGTCTCAGTTGAGCCTGAAATGATCTCGTTTGTACCATGTCCACACCCTCCCCTTGGGTGGGCGAAAGGTAGACTGGCCTTGGGTGGGCACTTGTGGGATTGGAACACCATGCTCTGCTTCCCCCAGGAGTGGACCAGGGCAGTGAGTGAGGGGACAAAGCATTGTCCTGCTCTGGTGAAAGCCCACCCTCGCTGGGCTCCCTGTGGTCGGTGAAGCCCTGTTTCCTCTTGTTCTTAAACGGGGCCTGATTTACAGCGGGAAGAGGAGGAGTGATGCCACTTGGGAAGGTGATAGAGAACCAGTCAGGAAATCCAAGGCCATCATTCTGCCAAGCAGCTCTCTGGAGAGTTGGGAATTCACCAGTTGTCACCCGGGCCCTAAAATGGAATTTTCTCATGTTAGACTGTTGAATATTGGTGATTTACCAACAGAACAGCAGCTGCCACAGCCCCCCTCCCCTGCTCCCACCACATTGAGAAGATTGAAATGTTTCCGATTGAAATGTTGTCTGTTTATAGCCCATATTTCCTCTGAGCTGTATATTTTATTGTCATATTGACACTAATTTGACTCGGATGTCACCTCCATTCTGACACCCGTTCTTTATGCTGCCAGTGGATCCAGAGGGGTTTTCAGAAACCAATTATATTGATCACACCGCAGAGAGGCAGGAAGAGCTGTTGGAGGGGCTGCCAGAGGCCCAGGTCAGACAACGCATGCCTTATCAGGAGGGGAAACTGAGGCAGAGACCAGGCTGCAGAGGGACACTGGCTGAATGGTTCTGCATGGTGACCTGCACAAGCTGTTCCCCATACCAGCACTGTGAAACCACGTCACAGGTGCGCAGCTCAGCCCAGGCCCTCAGTATCTCTGCCTTCAATACCTATGGCCTCAACCCCAAGGCTCCCTGCTTTGTGGCCTCAGCTCTTGCTACTGCACTGCAGGCAGGGTTAAAAGGGCTGTGAACAGCCACTTGGGGTGGGAACATTAAGGTTCTCAAGTTGGATGTCCTTAGGGCATCTCAGCAAGTCCAGAAAATACTGGGTGAGGGGGTTGGGCCGTGCAGGGAACACAGCTTAGCTGGTGTAAATTCCCAGCACCCGAGCGTCCCCCCAGGCTGTGTCCCGATGCCCCCCATGCAGTGTTCCCAGGTGCCAAGACGGATCTCCCTCTTGCCACCCCTCAGCCCACACTCCTGGGTCCTCAGGCCCTGGGGGGATTCCCCAGCCCCAACATCACAGAGGTTTGCCTGCTCCTGCAGAAGATGTGCTGGTCGCCAGCCTACCTTATATGTGACTTATAGGAAGTCACCCAAGTCAGAGTGCCTGGGCAGGGTCAGAGCCCATGTCTGCCTGGGGCCAGGGCCTGTTCTCCCATCTCCTGCACTTCCCACTGTTCCAGGGAAAGCAGTGTCCCTCGCTCCTGAGCACTCTGGGATCCTCTAGGGTAATCCCACTCAGGTGGCACCGTCTGAGGGCAGGGCCAGTGTCCTCCTTGCCCGGGTTCCCCATCATGCCTAGCCAGTGCCTGGCATACATGACACTACACAAGGATCTGGTGAATGAATGAACAAGCCCATGAATGAGCAAAAAAAAGAACTAGTGGGTGAGGCAGGGTCCAGAGGCAGGTGGTGGCGGAAGTGGGTAGTGTTGGCATCTGCCCGGGTGAGGGCAGACAGGTGGCCGGTCACCCAGTGACTGACTAGCCCTAAAACAGCCACATCCACGAATGAATGTGCTGCCATGTTCCTGGTCATAAATCATAGGAGAAACTCCGGGAAATGAGTGCCAGGCTTTTCTTTCTATTTAGTAATTTATCAAGGGAAGAGGCACATTAATAAACATATTTCCCTTGAGAGGTAGGGATAACAGAGATGAATATCACTGTCAGATTTGGCCTGTTTCCTCTTGTTAGGGGCGTGTGAGAGGGTACGAATCCAAATATTAGCAGCAAAAATTTCCTTTTCTAAAAATGTGTCACAAAGATCTGTGTATTTCTTACCTTTTATGTTGCTAGATCTTTTTCCCCGCTCATACCTCCCTATTTGCCACTCAGCTTAAGAGTCTTCTAGAGGATTCGCTTTTGCATCTTACCATGTGCTTCCTTTGAAGGGAGGATTGAAAGAATGAGCTCAGGAAATAAGAACCCAGAGGCTGAGGGGGCAACAAATGAAAGCCAACAAATGAATGTTTAGTGACAGCTGCCCTGTCATCTTTTCTAGGTGCGCTGTCCTTAGCTCCATTATTAACTGTAGGCTCAGCTCCCACCCAGGCGGTCCTCCACCCCCTGGAGAGGCTATGTTAATTAGCAGTTTCATTTTGGAATGGCTGCTGGGTTTAGGAGACTATCCCTGGCACTCCGTGTGTGTCAACCCTGACAACAAGCCATGCTGCCCCATTATGGAGATGGGGAGACAGAGGCTCAGGGAGGCTAAGTAACACGTTCCCAGGAAGCTACGAAATGACAGGCCGGCACGGCCAGCAGTACAGGCCGTCTGTGAGACTGTGCATCCTGTGTGTGTGCATGCACTTGAGCTTGTGTGTGTGTGCATGTGTGTCTGTCTGCTTGGGGCCTCTTCCTCCATGAGACATGTCTCCTCCCCACCCTGGACACAGGTCTTATGGCAGGTGGACTTGACCTCCCTGTGCCCACCTTTCAATCATGGTCTCTGCTTCCCCTGGCTATGTGGCCTTGGGGAAATTACTCAAGACCCTCTATACTTTCATTCTGGATGATGAGAACACCAGCAGTGCCTTCCTTACCAGCTGGTTGTAAAGAGTAACTTATTAACACGTTAAAGCACTTAGACCAGAGCCCAGCACATGGCGGTGTAGCACAGTGAGTGTCCTAACCACAGAAGACTGTGTGACGTGTGTGCGTGCATGTGGGCTATGCACGTTCCGAGTGACAGGTTCCCAGAGCCTTGGGTGACTTCTGAACTGCGGGCCTTGGTGTGTGAGAGCATCTGCATGGTCAAGCTGCTGCTGCATCCTGTGTTCCCTCCTCCCCGTCATGGTGCCCTGCCCAGCAGGCTCTGGGAAGCCAGCTGAAGGCCCAGACATTGGAGAGTCTGGGGCAACTGTTCAGGCAAATGCCTAAGTCAGGTGGTGATCCGGTCACAACACAATCCATGACCTTGGAGCACTTACTTCCATTCACTGTCCTCCCATGGAATTCTCCACAGCAGTGAGAATGAGTGGAGAAGGCAGGATAGCAGCTGCCTTTGGGGCAAGTCTGGAAGGGGCTAGTGGGCACTGGCTATGCCTTGTTTCCTGACCTGAGCTGGCTTGCCAGGTAGGATAACTTGGTGAGAGGCCACCAAGCCGTAACATCTGATTTGTGCACCCTATAGTCCTGCCTTACTCATTCCTGGATCCCAACCCTGATCCCTGCAGCTAATAGTAAAGACCCTGTGCTCAGTGTTCACATTCACTCACCTCAACACCGATGCCTTACATGTACTTCTCCAGTCCTTACCACACCCTGTGCTGATCAGTCCCATTCTACAGATAAGTAAACGGAGGCCAGTAGCCCACAGCTGGAAATCTGGCAGAGCTGCAGATTGCCATTGGATGATCCTTGCATATTCTTCATATCCCCTTCCTACGTGTCTCCCCCCACCCTCAGCACTGGTGATGCTCACGTGCCTGTTTTGGCTGCCCCACAGTGTCACGTTTCTCCAGCCCAAGAGTGACACCCCGCCTGAGCCGCAAGCGGGCGCTGTCCATCTCCCCTCTCTCAGACGCCAGCCTCGACCTGCAGCGCATGATCCGGACCTCTCCCAACTCGCTGGTGGCCTACATCAACAACTCTCGTAGCAGCTCGGCGGCCAGTGGCTCCTATGGGCACCTGTCGGCAGGAGCCCTCAGGTGAGCCCCACCTGCAAGCCGAGGGCCAAGAGCTGGGTGCTGGGACGGGGGCCAGGTGGGGAGGAGCTGGCTTTTCAGTTGGCACTTTCAGCTTGAGAAGAAAAGCAGTACTTGTTGTTTTGTGAATTTGCATACTTGCAACTTTTTCATGAGTTCAAAACCAATAACGTGAAAACATCTGGCTACATCTTCATGGACTGAGTCCATCGTAAGTGCTTCATCTGTGAAACTGAAGGTGTTTGAGGACAAGGTGGCTTTCCTGATGTTATACCAGGTGTGAAAGAGCAGATACGTGTTGCCCAACATTGAAGGCCACACGAGGTGTGACATTGATGTGGCCTGAGCTCTAAGCAAGCCTCTCTGTTGTGGTGGCATAGCACACACATGCCTCATTAGGTAACACCAGTCACCTAACTTCCCTCTCTATAGCCTTGGACTGAAGGCTACCTGAGGACTGAGACCTCAGCCAGCTTGACTGAAACTCTCATTCTTTCCTGGCTTTTCTGAGAGAGGCCAGGAGCTGATAGGACTATCAGCATAGTTCAGCCCACGGACTCAGAGATAGAAGTGGCAACAACTACCCTGATCACCTTTCTTTTTCTTTTTTGAGACAAAGTCTCAAGCTCTCACCCTAGGTAGAGTGCCATGGCGTCACAGCTCACAGCAACCTCCAACTCTTGGGCTCAAGCAATTCTCTTACCTCAGCCTCCCAAGTAGCTGGGACTACAGGTGCCCACCATAACACCCAACTATTTTGCTGTTGTTGTTGTTGTTTCAGTTGTCATTGTTTAGCAGGCCCAGTCCGGGTTCAAACCCACTAGACTCTGTGTATGTAGCTGGTGACCTACCCACAGAGCTATGGGCCCTGCCCAGCCTGGTCACTTTTCACTGCATTGCAAATTGCTCCAACATGTTAGCATTTAAAATAAGTATTTATTATCTCAGCCTGTTCCTGAGTGTCAGCAATTTGAGACTGGCTTAGTCGAGTTCTCTTCAGCACTCCACAATCAAGCTGTTAGCCAGAGCTGCAGCCTTCTGAGGGCTTGGATGGCTCACTACCACGGTTGTCTCAGAAACCTCTCCAGGGGGCTACTTGAGTGGCCTCACAACATGGCAGCCAGCTCCCCACCCCAGAGCAAGTGATGTATTATCTTCTATGGCTTAGCCTCAGTGGTCACTGGTATTTCTTTTGTATCCTGCTATGGAAGGGAGACTCAAATGCAAAAGTCTTGACATGCAGTTAGAAGAGAAGGAATAATGTGAACTGGAAGACTCAGTGTGCTTTCTGGATGAGAGGGCCCTACAGTAGGCCTCAGAGGACACATGAGACAGAGGACACAGTGACACAGAAATGCATCTAGGCATCAGAGCAGTGCAGGTGCCAGGCTATGGGGCTGAGGTGGGATCTGACCCCTACCAGGGCCACCCTGCCAGAGGTGAATGCTAAGTCCTGGGGCAAGATCTGGGAGCTAAATGCACAAAGTGAGGCCTGTGTGGCAAGCAATAGGGAGGGAACTGCTGCATCTTGAGTGAAGGAAAGCCCTGGTGATGGAGGGGTTAACTACATGCTCATCCTGATCCCCTAAGCAGAGTCCTTTCTGCCAGAAAATATTGGCCTAACAGAGCCCCTGCCCTCCCCACCTCCTTGTCTGCTCTCCTTGCAGCCCAGCCTTCACCTTCCCCCACCCCATCAACCCCGTGGCCTACCAGCAGATCCTGAGCCAACAGAGGGGCCTGGGCTCAGCTTTTGGGCACACACCACCCCTGCTCCAGCCCTCGCCCACCTTCCTAGCCCAGCAGCCCATGGCCCTCGCCTCCATCAGTGCCGCACCCTCCCAGCTCAGCAGTAGTAGCAATTGTCTGGGTGATGCCAACCAGGTAGGTGGGTGCATGGGGTGTGGAGGGTGGCCACTGGGTACTTGTCCAGACCCCACAAAGACTGTTCATTGCTGGCTCATGCTGGGAATTTGTGAAGGGACTCCAGCCTTGTGCCTGGCTGCTGGGATGCCTTCTGGACAGCAGCCACCTGATGGAAAGGTCTTTGGGCTGGGTTAGGAGACCTGGGCTTGGTTCAGGGAAAGCTCCCAGCCTCTCAGTTCTGCTGCCCCTGTCCAATAAACAAGTAACTAAACAGAGAAGCTCTCTCATTCATAGGGCCTGGCACCACACAGGTGCTATATGCACTGCATAGGAGATGGTTAGGTGAGTGAGTAATAGTGATGTTGTACAGTTTACCTTCAGAGCATGAGTTCACAGTGGGCTTTCACAGACCATTTTATTTGGCCTTTCCAATGGGCCTTGGACTTGCCCATGCATCCTAGCACAGTGCCTGGCATATGTGTATATATTAGGTGCCATTAATATTTGGTGAATAAATGAAGTCCTGTTTTGCAGATGAGGACATGGAAAAGCATAGGCTTTGGAATCAATCAGCCCATGACTTGGATTTTGACTTGCATGAAAGCAGCAAATCTCTTCTCTCCCTGCTGAGCTCACTCATCCTCAAAGTGGGGGGTCTGCTGCCTAGGCAAGGTTGTTGTGTACATAGTGAGCTCATGTGGGCACAGAGCCCCCATGCCCCCTGCATCCTGGGTAGCACTCACATTGACAGTGCTAAAGGTGAAGTGACCACCCCAGGCCACCTGCTGGTGAGAGGCAGAGTCCTGATGTGACCCTGTCCTGGGAAGGAAAACAAGATACCACATGGTATAGAAATGTCCCCTGTTCCAGAATGTCCTCTCTCTCCACCCCAGGGCTCCTAGCAGCTTCCCATTGTTCTCCCCAGACAATCACTGTGGGCTCTGGAAACACCATCTGGCACTGCAGCTCGAGCCCCTTCTTAGGAGCCAGGGCCCTATGTCTTGCTTCCCAGGCTGGCCAGGCCCCATGCTCAGATGCAGAGCAGAGCCTGGGAAGGGCTGGGAAATAGAGTTTCATCAGGACAGAGGCAGGATATCCAGTGTTCTCCATAGAGGGTCTCGTTCCCATTTCCCTGAAATCTTGGGAGGTGGAGGTAGAAAGGATCGTGCTGTCAGGCTAAGGTCTGGGCACTGTTCTGGGCAGGCCCCTGGCTAGAGGGTTAAGGTAGGAGACTGAGTTTCTGATACTTCAGGATAGATGTGGTCCAGACAGTCCATGTAAGGAGGCCCCAGAAGTAAAACCAAAAAAGAATTGGGGTGTTCCTGCCCTGCCCCTGTGTGACAGGCTGTCCTCTGCATCTTCCCTCAGAACAAGCAGAGCAGCGAGTCGGCTGTGAGCAGCACTGTCAACCCCATCACCATTCACAAACGCAGCAAGGTCAAGACTGAGGCCGAGGGCCTGCGGCCAGCCTCCCCATTGGCCCTGACTCAGGTAACCTGCTGCTGTCCTCACTGCCCCCTGGTTGGGACCGGGCCAGGTCTCCTCTGGGTTGGTTGTCTTGGCCGTGTCCCTGGTAATGGCTGACTGGCTGCCTGCATGGGCGAATGAATGACCCAGGGTGGGCAGGTAGGCACCCTGAGCTATGACCATCTCCTTTGTTCCAAGTACTTGCATGTACTACATGCTCATGACACGTGTGCTAAATGAGTGAGTGAACAAATAAGCAAATCTGGAAGCTTCTGCCCAGCCTTCCCCCTTCTCTCAGTTGCATCCATCTCTCTGCACACCTCCCACTAGAGCAGCACCACCCTCTGCTAAGCTGAGTTGTTCCCACCACCTGGATGGCGTGGGACTCTCCAGACTGCTGTCTCTCCACCGCCACCTCCCCTTCACTGCCCCTTCAGCCTTCCTCATACTCCTGGGTAGTAGGACTTAGCTCTAGCACCCGTGCTATATGTACACCTATCTCCCCCAACCTGTACTATAAGCCTTGGAAAGGTGACACTGGGGGCAGTGCCTGATGGGGTTCAGTGTCACCAGGGACTGGCATGCAGTTGGTGTGAAGCAGTATTTCCTAACAGACTCAATGCCTGTTTGAGAAGCTGAAGGCGGATGAAGGGAAGGGAGGACAGGACAGTTCCTGGTAGGGGGAGCAAGGAGCAGAGCAGCTCACAATCTGGGCAGGTCCCTCTGGAAACTTGCCACTTCTTTTAGCACTCCAAGATAGCATGTCTTATCATGAGCATGGCATGCCTGATGACCTTTGAGATAACCCCCATCCTGGCCCCCCACACCCTCTCATGGTGGCCCAGTCTCTATGTGTGATTACAGAATACCCCACTTGGATACCAAAAATGTCTGGGGTCTCCCAGCCCCCTCCCTCCTGCATCTATCTGCTGAGCCGTACTTTATCAAAACTGTAAACCATCAGGCATGCTCTGAGCACTTAATTTTCATGAAATATTGGGTCCTGTTATTGTCAGGCAAACAGAGGGGTTGGTGACAAATTCTTCTCCCCTCACTGACACCAAAGCAAGTCTCAGCATGATGCATGGTTTCCACCAGGCCAACCATCATCAGGGGCCGTTGAAATTGATGAAGGCAGCACATAGCCAGGGAAGATAAACACTCCAGAACGGCAGGGATAGGGCTGGGAGGCAAGTGCCAAGCACCTAGGAGCCCCATGGACACCCACCAGTGGGGGCCTGTGCCTGCCCTCCAACCCAGGTAGCCACAGAGGCCTCCTGCTGCCCAGCCCGGCTCCACAAGCAGGTCTGAAGAAGGAAAGCCGTTTATCATGAGGAGACGGTCTCCCTGTCTCTCAGTGTCCTGATTCACTGGCCAAGGACATCCTGACTCATTTGCAAGGTGGATGGGCTTGATCTATGTTGGCAGAAAGTGCAGCATAATGAACCCCCTCTCTGCTGAAGCCCTCAGAATCGCCCACTAGGGCAATGCCCAGCTCTGCCCATGCCCGTAGCTTCCCTCCACTCAGCATGTCAGCCTGTCTCTGGAGAGAGCAGGGCATGCAGCGTATGGAAATAGTAAATTGCTTCTTGTTTTTCTTAAAGTTCAGAGAGTACAGTAAGGGGGCCTTCTGGTGCACTCCCCTTATAGTCTCACGTAGCAGCCCCCAGATAGTCCCCTACCGAAGATCTAGAAGGGTCCCAGTGCAGCCTGTGGAGTTACTGTAGGACACATCATTGCTCTCCTTTTGAGAGCTAGGGGATTAGCTGAAAGGTCCCCTGAGAAATAAGAGGACCCCTCTTAGAAGAGCTCATTGCAGCTCCAGTGGAAAGTCGGTCAGGGGCATGTGTCTGTGGCTGATGTCAAAGAATCCTGAAGCTGGATTCCTGCTGCCCCTGGAAATGGCTCAGTGTGAGGACTGTGACTACGATGAAGCCAGCTGTGGCCTCTGCTGCACTCAGTCTCTGAAGCCATGAGGCATTAGGGCTGTAGACTGTGGGGAGACATTGTTCACCCTCCTTAACCTGACTATGTTTCCCTAGAAGCTAATTTGAAAGGCAGAATATTTTCCTGCTGGCTTTGGACATAGTTTGAAATGTAAAGCAAGTCACTGTAACGTCTGCCTCTTTGCTTGGCTTTGCTCCTGGCCTGCCTAACAAACCAGTGGGACACTGGGGAGTCCCCAACAGCCTTTAATAGAGGTCCTCCCTGGACCCTCTCTCCCAGCCTGGTGCCTCTGTCCCTCTCCCTCCCCCTAACCCCAGTCAGGTCCCTCTGACCTGTTCTCATGTCCTCTGTTTAGAGGCTGCCCCTGGCCAGCTCTGGTTAACATCAGTCTGTTGCTGATTTGACAGTAAAAGACTTTGTCCTCACTGAAAGGTATTTCAGGCACCTGTGATTGTGTAAAGGACTATTTCGGAGGCCTTTCCTTTACCTTCCTGAACTAGCCATGTGGGCCCTGATCTGGTCAGGAGGCTCAAGTCCAGATCTAGGCTGCCATGAACCCACTGTGTATTACAGGGAGGAGAGGTTAGCCTCTCTCAGGGCATCAGGTTCCTCTGTAATACGAGACCAAAGACCTGATATTTGGGGGCTGTTGCAGAGAAAACTGGTTCCCCAAGCAGAAACCAAACCAAATAAGCAAAAGTCACTGCCCTCTACCCACCTTTTTTTGTTCTGCTTGCATGCCAGTAGATGCAAGATGTGATGGAATTCCTTGGTGATGACAAGCCAGCATTGGAGAGGAGGGATGGGCCCTAGGGCGCTGTCTAACAGGAAGAAGTGTGGATGGGTGGATGGGTGGATGGGAGCTGAACTGAGGAAAGGAGCTAAAAAACTCATAAGTGTGTGCGTGTGTGCATGCACACATGTGTGTTGCATGTATGCATTCATGTGTTGATGTGTTTATGTGCACAGACAAACGTCCACATTCATAACGGCCCATGTTCCTTGCCACAGACTGCACAGGGCTAATAGCAACCTCTCCACAGGGCCATGCCATGTGTCAGGACATGGCTCATGTGGGTGTGCAATTCTCCCCTAGGAGCAGCTGGCCGACCTCAAGGAAGACCTGGACAGGGATGACTGTAAGCAAGAGGCTGAAGTGGTCATCTACGAGACCAACTGCCACTGGGAAGACTGTACCAAGGAGTTTGACACCCAGGAGCAGCTGGTGCACGTAAGCCTCAGAGGCCCCAGCAGCCTGCCCACTGAGACCAGAGCCCAGGCCACATAGGACCTTGAGCCTTCCAGGGCCTCTACTAGAGAAAAGAGGTTGAAGGAAGACCTGCAGAAGATGGCCTGGGCCACATCCCCTACAAATGGGAGGCATGATTATTTAAGTGTGCCCTACCTGTTTCTAAAAGAGCGCTTTTAAATATATATGTAGTACAAGAAAGAGATAAAAATAAAAATAAATAAATGAGAAAACTGGGGGAAAAGGAGCAATAAAGTAAACCATAAGTAGAGTTAGTGTTAAAAACTAAGTGCTCTGAGATAATAATTTACATGCATAGGTTGGTTTTTTTTAGCTTCCTAGCAGCCAGTGCAAAGAGAGAATTAGGATTATTTAAACTAGCCAGCATCTACAAGATGACAAACCTGACTCTGAACTCTGAAAGAAATCTTCTTTCGTAGAGGAAGGAGTTGATAATTTCCTCTTGCATACCCTTCACAGATACCCAGTATGTATGGATGCAGGTGGTGTCAATACCCAGATCAAGAGGAGTCTACTTAAAAATGCCAGGGTACTGACGGCCCAGTTGATTAGAGAAGACCATGAGAGCCATGAATGGGTTGGAGTATTCCCCTTCAGGGGATTCCTCTTTGCCCCCACTTTAAACTCTTACACACCAACTTTCATCAGGGTGGCCGTGAAGGGGTAGTGTATGCAGTGGAAGGAGGAGGGGCTCCGCTTGGGAAGTGCCTGGCTCCAAACCTGGCTGCACTATAACTGGCTGAGTGGCTCTGAATAAGTGACTTAAGCTCTGTGAGCCTCAGTTTTTCTCCAGTAAGGGGGGTGATGTCTACCCTAGAAGGGGTCAAGGTTGACTATTCTACTCTATTCAATCATATTCATAGTCACTCAGCAGACTGCAGGCATTCTGTACCTGGTACCTCCTCTTCCCTGTTCCCCACAACAGCACCATGTGGGTCCCTCTTCTCCATCCAGAAAGTAACTTCAATTTGAGAATAAGTACCCCCACCATCTCACTGCCACACTCCTTGCTGAATGACTGTAAAGATGAACCCCTAAATCAGCAGCTCATTTGCTGGAGGAGCAGACACACAGACGTGCACATGCTGGCCTCCTGTTCACATTCGGACACCATCCCAAAGGAACTTGCTTCTCCCCAGTTCTGAACTTACCATTAAGAACATACCAACTCCCTCTGCTTCCTCCATTCTTGCAACTTGCTCATAAATATGCTTCTTTTGTATTTGAGTTTTTCTTCCCCAAATTCTCACCCAGGAGACCAAGATTTCTCAGCACACCTGTGCTAGTGACATACAACTTGTGGATAGGGTCTTATCTAGTCCCTTCTGGAACTCAAACGTAAATTTTCAGTGTGTACCACCTCTTTGGGGTAAACAAGCCCTAGATGGAGACGGAGCAGTTGGAGCTGTGAGGCATAGGACAGACCAGTTAGATGAAAGGAGAGAGGACAGCATCTCGAGCCAGGGAAGGGCCCAAGCCAGAGCATGGAGGTGAGGACATGAAAGATGTGTTCCGTATAAGTGGGTCAGCTCCAAAGAGCAGGCCTGGAGTTCTTCAAACAAAGGCAGAGGGTTCTGATGTGGAAAGAGGACTGTAGCTACAGGCCTCTTCTACCTGTGCCCAGGACTGCCCTGTGGCCATAGGTGGTCACTTTACCTGACCCTGGAAAGATCAGTGTCCTTGGGGAGGGGGGGCTGATTCCCTTTGCCCAGCTCTGTCTCTCTCTGCATCCTGGGAAGATGGATGCAGCACTTGCACAGGGGAGCTGGAGCCCTCAGTCAATTATTAACAATTTGTCGCTAAGTAAACCAATAAGAAAAAAATGAAAGGCATTGTCAGGAAGCATTTTTATCATTTGAAAGGCTTTAAAAATGGAAAGTGAGGCTAATATGATAAGATTTGTCTGGAAGTTCAAAGCGCTGTAGGTTTTACTTGCTCCAACAGTGGCAGTTGTATGCATGGCTGTCAGGCTGGTTGCACAGGGCATGAGGGCGGTTTGTTATCTTCTGGGACAAGGCGCTGCCAATGCCCAATGCTCATCTCTCAGCAGCCTCAAAGGTGGCAAAGGTCCACAGCAGAACTGTTCAGTAGGAAGATACTGCAAGCCATAAATACCAGCCATGCGTGTAATTTCGCATTTCCTGTGACAGCATTTTAAAAGAAATAGGTGAAGTTAATTTTATAGGTGAATAAATTTTATTAATTTATAATTAATAAATATAATTAAATAGGTGGAGTTAATTTTAATAATATATTTTATTTAACCCAAGAGATCCGAAAAGTCATTTTGATATGGAATTAATATAAAATAAAATTATTTAGGTATTGTGCATCCTTTTTATGTTTTTTTCTATTCTAAGTCTTTGAAACTGGTGTTTAGTTTGCACTTCCAGCCACCCCCGGTTCAGAACAGGCTCATTTTTAGTACGCAAGAGCCACACATGGTAAGTGGCCTCTGTGTTGGGTGGTGCAGGTTTAGAGGTCAAGGGAGAGGCAGTGGGAGAAGGAAGTGAAGGCTGGGAGAGGAGCTGAGAATAGAGGAGAAACAAGGGGCCTCCAAGACTGGAGTGTCCCCACCCTCACCATCTCCCTGGGGAAGCAAGCCCAGCCTGACCCGAGGTAGATGCAGGGCCGGACCTTGAGCTAAGGGAGATGAAGGGTAGGGTGGGACCTTGACAAGCCCTTTGAGAGAAGTGCTGTAGCAGAGGCAGCAGGAAGTCCTGTATATTCTTCACCCTACTGTGTAAAGAAGTGACTCTTTTCACCCATTCCCACTTCTCTGTTAAATAGTCAGCTCAAAGATTAAGGACACAAAGGGCCTCGTGTTCATGGCAACATCCCAGGCTCAGAGGTAGGAGCCCTGCCAGGAGGGCACACAGTGATTAGCCCAGGGCAGAGGCCCGAAGGGGTGTTCACTCCACATTCCTGGCCCAAGGCAGTACTGGCTGAGATGGGTCTCCCAGGGAGGGCTTCTTGCCTAGGCACCCCCTAGCTTGCCCAAGAGGGTGCTGCAGGGTCATTTCTGTCCTTGGCTATCCCACCTTGCTCACCTCTGGGTAATTTCATCCTCGAGTCAGCCTCACACAGTGCCCAGTACTCACCATTAGGGTCAGATCTGGCTCTACCCACACTTCTGGGCCTTTGTCATCTTAAGAATAAATGACAAAAATAGAGATAAGGATGCATTATTTTTCCATTATAACAAAATAAGTCATTAATATTTTAAAATCTCTAAAATGATGGGGGCGAGCTTAGAAGAGGGTTCTTGTGCATCTGCCATGTAGACATCTTTGACCATCATGGATGGTCACTTTGATGACTAATTGGAAAAATCCAGTGGAGGTAAGTGGCACACAACAGTGCTTCATTTAATGGCAGCTGATGATAATTCATGAGAGCGAGCGGCCTGGCACAGAGATGTCTTACTGGGTCAGTGTTCTGCGTGTAATAGGTAGAGTCAGCATGGCAGGTGGTCTGCACAAAAGGAAGGAGTGGGTGTTTGTGCTCATAGTAGGCTGGGGTGCAGTAGCGTGAGTGATCTGTATGTACTGGGGTGGGGGGTGCAGGCAGTCTACTGATGGTAGGCAGGGGTCTGCACACCCTGGGTGGCCTCTGTGAGGCAGACAGCAGGCTTACCCCTCTTCGGGCTATTCATCCCGGCACCCCTCTTTGGGCTCACCCCTCTTCTGCTGTTCATCCCGCAGCACATCAACAACGAACACATCCACGGGGAAAAGAAGGAGTTCGTGTGCCGCTGGCAGGCCTGCACACGGGAGCAGAAGCCCTTCAAGGCTCAGTACATGCTGGTAGTGCACATGCGGCGCCACACGGGCGAGAAGCCCCACAAGTGCACGGTGAGCAGCCCTCCTCCCGGCCAGGCCAGGGGAAAGACACACTTGGGTTTCTGGACTTCTGCCTGTTTAGGTCCTGGAGGCCCCCAGCCTAGTGATGTCCCCGACCTCAAATAAATCACTCTGGGTGTTAGCATCTCGGTAACCCCAGTGTGGATGTGCAGGTGTGTCCATGGGTGTGTCTGTGTGACCATGAGCCCCAGGACACAGCTGACCCCCTACTGGCTGTATGACATTGGGCAGACAGGCCATTTGATAGCACCCTACAGAGAGGAAAGCGTCCTAAGTGATTCACAGCTGACCAGTGATGGGCTAAAAATCAGTTTGGTTGAGTGTTTCCTTTTTTTTTTTTTTTTTGAAGAGCTCAAAAATGAGATCCTTTATATGGTCTCCTTTTCTGGAGTTAACAGGATGTGTGAACATAACTGGTGAGACTTCGATACACAGTAGTTGCTGCCCTTAAAAGGGGAGGTGGTTCAGGGGCTGTAGCTCTAACAGCTGAGAACTCCTTTTTGTGAATTCCATACAGAAATTCCATCTTTGTATTCCATAGAGGCATACATTTTGTTTTCATTTTAATGTCTCTGAAATTAAGCTGTCTTAAAACCAGGGTGTTCAGGATCCAGTGAAATGTGGCACCTTTGTTGATAAATGGGCTTTTTAAATTGAGGTAGACTTCACATACCATAAAGTTCATCTTATTTTTAAAATGTACAATTAGGAGGTTTTTAGTGTATTCACAGAGTTATACTACCATCATCTCCAGTTAACTTCAGAACATTTTCATCACCCCCCAAAGAAACCCCATACCCATTAGTGGTCACCCCCAAATCTCTCCTCCCTTCAGCCCTGGACAACTGCTAATCTGTTTCCTGTCTCTATGGACTGATCTGTTCTGTCCGTTTTATAAAAATTAAATCATTCAGTATGTAGCCTTTGCCTTGGCTTCTTTCAATTAACATGTTTTCTTTTCTTTTTTTTTTTTTTAATTGAATGGTAACTATGTACATTAATGCACTTCTGGGGTGCATCTGAAATACACATGCAATCTGAAATACTTCCATCAAACTGGTCAACACAGCCTTCATGTCATTTTCTCAGTTATTGCTTTAAAACGTTCACATTCTACTCTTAGAAAGATTCACCTGTACCCCAATTAACATGTTTTCAAAGTGCATCTGTGTTGTGGCATGAATCAGTACTTTATCCCTTTTTATGGCTGAATAATACTTCATTGTGTGGATAGATCACAGTTTGGTTTTCCATTCATCAGGTGATGGATGTTTGTGTTGTTTTCACTTTGGGGCTGTTAGGAACAATGCTGCTTTGAACACGTATTTCATGTTTTTATGTGGACATATGTTGTCAATTCTCTTGAGTATGTATACTAAGGAGTGGAATTCTTAGGTCATATGGTAATTGAGAACCTGCCAGATTGTTTTCCAGAAAGGCTGCATGCACCATTTTACATTTACTTTACATAAGTAAGCTTATGAGGGTAATTACTTCTCCATATCCTCTCCAACGCTTATTGTCATCTATCTTTTTATTCTAATTCTAGACAAACTTATGGGTGTAAAGTGGTATTTTATTGTGGCTTTATAATCAATTAGCACTTTGCTAGTGACTAATGATGCTAAACATCTTTTCGTGTGCTTATTGGCCACTTGTGTATCTTTTTTGGATAGCTACTACTTGGACTTTTTGCTCACTTTTAAATTTGTTTGTCTTCTCGTGGTTAAGTTGTAAGGGTTTTTTATAAATCTAGTTATTTGATCTCATTAGATATGATTTGCAAATTATTTCTCCCATTCTATGGGTTTTCTTTTCATTTTCTCAAACATTTTCTTTAAAGCACAAAAGATTTTCATTTTGGTGAAGTCCTTTCTTTTAATTGCTTACGTTATGAGTGTTGTATCTAAGAAACTATTGCCTAATTCAAGGTCACAAAGAGATTTACAGACATATTTTCTTCTAAGACTATTATAGTTTATAGTTCATAAATGTATACTTTTATTTATATAAATATACCCTGTGCGTGTTGTGTCTGTGTGTACATGTTGTTTCTCTCCCATTGACATCTTTGATCTATTTGGAGTTAATTTTTTATGTCTGACATGAGATAAGGATCCAAACTCATTCTTTGCATGTGTCACGCAGTTGTGCCAGTTCACTTGTTGAAAGACTGTTCTTTCCACGTGGAATAGACTTGGCACCCTTGTCAAAAATCAAGTGACCTAAGGTGCATGATATTGTTTCTGAGCTCTCGGTTCATTCCATTGACCTCTGTAGGACTGTCTTTCCGCCAATACCACACGCAGTCTTGATTCCGGTGGGTTTATAGCAAGTTTTTTAATTGGAATATATGCTAGATCATATATTACAATTTAATTTTGTCATCTTTTTGCGAGATTATTTTGGCTCTTCTGGGGCCATAGAAGCAAGTTATTTTCTTAACATTTTGAGTGGTAACAAAACCTACTCCTCTGGTAAGGGGTTGTGATAATGTGAGTTGTAGAAACAGATAAAAGACATTCAGAGCCAAGTGTGCTCAGTTAGACTGGTCAGGAATAAATGGAAGGATGTAAAAAATGAGAAAGTTCCTACTTGGGTGTACATGCCCTTCTGAGGACAGTTTACATATGTACATGGATGCAACAGCAGAATCTTTGGAATAGCTGTAGAGTTTCCCGCAATGGTCGCTCCTTCCTTCCTCCCCATCTACCTCCTTCTCACCCTCCTTTTCACCATCTCACCCTGGCTTTCTCCTCTCTCCTTCCTTTTCTCTTTTCCTTCCGTCCCAAAATTGTTTCTTGATTGCCTAGGTGCTAAGTATTAGGAAGACAGCAGTGGATAAGACCCAGAAGGTCCCCGCTCTATAGAAATTGAGCCCCAGCAGGAAAGCCATGTCACAAAATTAAGACCATTATAAATTGGGTTGGGGGTATAAAGGACCAAGGATAGAGTGTTGTGATTAGAATATCAGGAAAACACTCTTGGAGGAGATAACCTTGATGATTTAGAGGGACGGAGCCAAGCTGGGGGCTGGGGTAGGTAGGGGTGGAGGAAGGACCCAGCCAGAGGGGGTCCAGTTGTACAGAGGCCTCAGGTGGAGAAGAATTTAGTGGGATCAAGGAAGTGAAAGCAGACCAGTGTGGCCAGAGCAAGGGTGGGGGCGATTGGCTCACTCAAGGACTCAAAAGACTCTGAATTTTATTTTCAGCACATTTTAATACACAGAAAAATTCTTATCAAAATTGGTGCTGGGAAACAGTAAAAAGAATTTAATGATATAGGAAGATCCCCTGCAATGTGCTAGTGATTTTAAAAGGTGGAATAAATACTTGATATGTTTCCAAGTTTAGTTTTAAAAACATGTGGGGATGAAGTGCAGAGTCACCAGAACGAGACTTAATGGGACGTCTGCAGTGGTTGTCCCTGGGCCACCAGGGGCTTTCGTTTTTCTCTTGTACTTTTCAACCCTTTCCAAGTTTTCTGGAAGAAAAAGTAACTGTTACTGTTAACACACATGCATCTGAGTGCACTAGGGGGTGGAGCAGAGTCAGGACGCGGGAGGGAGTGGAGCAGAGTCAGGACAGGGGAGGAGGTGACTAGCTTCAAGGTCAGTCGCTGGGCTGCCCTGACTGACCGAACCACCTCATTCCAGTTCGAGGGCTGCTCAAAGGCCTACTCTCGCCTGGAGAACCTGAAGACGCACCTGCGGTCCCACACTGGGGAGAAGCCATACGTGTGTGAGCATGAGGGCTGCAACAAGGCCTTCTCCAATGCCTCAGACCGCGCCAAGCACCAGAACCGCACCCATTCCAACGAGGTACCCTGCCAGGCATATGTTGTGCCAGTTCACACATGGCCTTCCTGATGCCCCTCGGCTTCTAGACATCTGTAGGCTATAGCCAGGTGCCTGGCTGCCCCTCCCCACTGAGAGACCTAGAAGGGCCAGTCTCCCTGGTGCCATAACCTCTCCTCTGAAAGGGAAGATGCCCCCATGAAGTCCCATCATGTACTTACTCTCCTGGGCATTGGTCTCCTCGTCTCTGTAATAATTACAATAGTGCCCTCCCCAGAGACCTTGACAAGGTTCACGGGAGCTGCTGGCAGGACAGAGAGGGACCTCTCTGTTTTCCAACTGCTGTGTTGCCAGACATGCATCTGGCAACAGGGCTGCTAGGTGGGTCCTGCCACCCCATTCTACAGACGAGGAAGCTAACACTCAGGGAGATGAAGTGACTGACCCCAATGCCAGGTGGCTTGTAAGTTGTGCCACAGTTTTGGAGCCCAGGATTGCTGGTTCCTCTGTGGTTGGGAAAACACCCTGGGATACTGCTTCACACACCCATAAATTACATGCCACCCACAAGCAGACATCTCCCTGTGGAGCAGCTGCCCTGTGGCCCAGGGAGGGTAGAGCAAGGCTGCCTAAGCCTGGCACAAGTTGGCAGGCCCTGCCCCCAAGTGGTTTGGACAGCTGGCAGTGACACTGGAGCCATCAGAGCCTGCTGAGGCCATCAGCCCCCCACAGATTGAGCATGGGGCAGCCTCTGATTCCCGGGTAGCCAGAGCCCCCTGTGGTGCTAAGGGGAGCCCAGGGAGGAGAGTCAGGCCAGACCCCTGGTGTCCACTGCACCCACCTCTCAGTCCCCACCCAGCCACATAATTGTGTCATGTTTCTAACAGCTTGGACACTTTCTGGGCCCAAAGGGACTTTGCTCCATGGTTTATAAGAGGTTAGAGGAATTTTTAAAGGTCTTTGAAGTCCTCAGAGTCTCTACAGACTAGAGCCAGCCTTGAGGAATGTGTGTGTATGTGTGTAGGTGTCGGGGGTATGTGTATGTGTGTTAATGTGTGCATGTGAGTGTGCGTGTTTATGAGACCAGGACTGGGGTTTGGAAATCTTGGGTTTCCATCCCATTACTGGATGATTTTGAGCAGGTTTCTTTGCTTCCCTGAGCCTGCCTTTCCTCCTCAGAGAAACCAGGGATTCAAGCACTGTCTCACAGGGGTCAATGAACTCATAGCTTGCTGATGATATTACAAATCCCACAGCCCAGTTCCCAAGGAGTAGCACTGTGCTCACAGGAAGCACTTATGCCCCCCTGCAGTCCCTAGCTTCTTGTGGCAGGAGCTCCCTTGGCCATGCACTTAACCTTTATGGAAAGGTAGCAAACAAGGCTGGGCTGGGCTGGGCACAGCCTCCTGCAGGCCTGAGACTGGTGGAGCTCCACAGGTTAGCAGATACAGCTAGGCTCTACCAGGGGACATGGGATGGCTTAAGGAGAACAAGTGCGCCCAGGCACAATCTGTCCTGTACCCCATCCATAACACAGGCCTGGTTCTCGTCCCAGAAACCCTATATCTGCAAGATCCCGGGCTGCACCAAGAGGTACACAGACCCCAGCTCTCTCCGGAAGCACGTGAAGACAGTCCATGGCCCAGATGCCCATGTCACCAAGAAGCAGCGAAATGATGTGCACCTTCGCACGCCACTGCTCAAGGAAATTGGGGAGAGTGAAGCCAGCACCGAGCCTGGTGGCCGGGCTTCTGAGGACAGTGCTGAGGCCAGCAGCACCATCCAGGCCGTGGAGGACTGCCTGCATATCAAAGCCATCAAGACCGAGAGTTCCGGGGTAAGCAGAGCTGGGCAGCCCGGCTGGCGTAAGGCAGTTCCACAGCTGCACCCAGGGCCTAGAACCCCAAAGACAGCTATGGGCTCTGCCCTGTCCTCCCTCTAAGGGCATGGTAGTGTCCCTCCTCTCTTCAACTCGTTTTCCTCCCTTGACCACTTCTGGCCTCACATGGAACCCATCTCATTCAAGTTCCCTTCTGCTGTGAGCTGGCTCCTGCTCACAGGTGTGCAGGGCTGTGAGCCATGGGATCCCCTGTGTCCACGTGGTCAGTCTGCGCGGGCGGGTGGCCCTGCATGTCCACCTTTCCAGCCAGCACCCATGCACTGCTGCCGATCCCCACCCCTCTGTCCCTCTGGGGGTCCTTTTGCTCCCTGGCCTGCACTCCTTTGGTTCTAACCACCTGTTCTTTGTCTCCACCTCTTTTTCCTGACTCTACCTCCCCTAAGGATAGACGGTACTGAGGTGAGCCAAGGAGCTGGGCGGGGCTGTGGGTGTGCTGGGGTGCTGATCCATGCTGCTGCTGAGTGGAGACTAACCTATCAGGCCTGGCTCACAGCCCAGGAAGTGGGTTTGGACAGGCACATGGCAGGGCACTGCAACAAGACCATTGGAATAGGTAAGGGCCAGCAGCAGGCACAGAGCTGGCAGGAGCAAGAGCAGGGGGGACCAGGCTGGAAGAGGGGCAGAGCAGAGAGGAGGCATAAGTCTGGGCCGCAGGGCAAGGGGCCTGCCCTACAGAGGGCCCAGAGAGCCAAGTAGAGGAATGTGGATAGTGCCGTGGGCAAGATCTAGAAGGTCCCTGCGTCACAAAGCTTGTATTCCTATAGGCAGAAGCATGGCAGTTTCCCCAGATAGGGCCGGGACTTGGGGATATTTGGCCCAGCAGCGATCCCAGATGGGCTCCATCCGGGATAAGCTTCATGTGGGCTCAGGTCCCAGGTGACAGGGGATATGCCCAAGTTCTATGACATTCTGCACTATGTCTGTGTGCCATGAGCTCACTGGCCCACTCCACCCAACCCAGAGGGAGGACTGCTTTGCGGTGGCCATTTGGTCAGGGGCTGCATCACACATCCCTCCCTGGGCATCGTTTCCCTTAGTAGCAACCTTTCTCTGGCCTATTGAGACCTCCTTGCCTGGTAGCAGGCACCTAGTCAGCAGGCTTTTATTGTTCCTTGTGTCACCAACCTCACTGTTGCTGGGAAGGCTTCCATACCTTCCTGCATGCCGTCCTGTGTGCCTTCTGCATGCTGGGCACCAGAGACAGTCCAGGTTCATTTCATAGTTGGGAACACTGGGGTTAAGAGAAGCAAAGTGATGTCACCATCTCATGGAAACAGACAAGTGGTGTCTCTTTCTAGAAAAGCTCTTTCTAGAGGCTGCTTCTTACTTTCCACCCCTTTGTGTGCAAGAGTATGGTGTGCATGCAGGCATGGGTGTGAGACCAGGTAAGAGTGTGAACATCCTCTAACTCTATGCCTTCCCACCTCGTCCTCTGCAGCTGTGTCAGTCCAGCCCCGGGGCCCAGTCATCCTGCAGCAGTGAGCCCTCTCCCCTGGGCAGTGCCCCCAACAATGACAGTGGCGTGGAGATGCCGGGGACGGGGCCCGGGAGCCTGGGAGACTTGACGGCACTGGATGATACGCCCCCAGGGGCTAATGCCTCAGCCCTGGCTACCCCCTCCACTGGTGGCTTGCAGCTGCGCAAACACATGACCACCATGCACCGGTTTGAGCAGCTCAAGAAGGAGAAGCTCAAGTCACTCAAGGATTCCTGTTCATGGGCCGGGCCAGCCCCACATACCCGGAACACCAAGCTGCCTCCCCTCCCGGGAAATGGTGAGTCTGAAGACCCAGAGCTTATAGAGGAGTGGGGAGTCTGAGACAGCACCAGCTAGGCCAGCAGTTCTCAACCTGTGGGTTGCAACCCACAAGAACTATATTAAAGGGCCGCAGCATTAGGAAGGTTGAGAACCACTGAGCTAGATTCACATCCACCAAGTGCCATGTGCTGTCTCACTGGATGTCCACAATGAGATAGATCTTACCAGCCCATTGTACAGATAAGAAAACTGAGGCAGGGGGAGGTGCCTGTGGCTCAAGGAGTAGGGTGCCGGCCCCATATACTGGAGGTGGCGGGTTCAAACCCAGCCCTGGCCAAAAACTGCAAAAAAAGAAAAAAAAAGAAAGAAAGAAAACTGGGGCTCAAAGAGGTAAGTGGCAGAGCTGAGATTTAGCCTGTGCCTGTGTGACCCCAAAGCCCATGCTTTTCCACCTACACCATGCTGAATTCCTGTAATCCCCTAAAAATGGGCAGACCCTACTCATATCATCCTCTTCCACATGCAATCATTTATTAGGCACTTTCTGTAGGTACCATGGCAGAAACCCTACAAGGATAGTAGTATAAGGCCAGTTCCAAAGGAGCACATGGTTAGAGGGCTGTGCCACCAGATTCACACTCTACTGTAGGATAAGCCAGGTAGCACCAAAGGCAGAGCTTATGGTAAAGCCATGCAGAGAAAAGGGAAAGCGTGGCCAGCTAGAGTAAAGCAAGGAGGACTTTATGGAGGAGGTGGCACTGTGCTCAGCCTCAGGAGGTGTTGGCCAGGCTTAAAGACAGAAGACATCCTCAGCAAACGTGTCTTGAGTACTTACTCTGTGGCCAGCATTGTGCTGTACACCTGAGTCTCAGCCTACAGGCTGCTCATTATAGTGGACATTGTGACGTACCAACTGTTCTCCCCTAAAGAGAGGATTTGTTGCCCCGACTGTTGGCAGATGGCCTTGAACTCTTAGCCTCCTACAGGGATCTCCAAGGTTGCAGATCCCTGCAACCTGCTACTCCACCCCAGATTACCCTCCACCCCTGGGCGGCCCACATCTAGTGACTGATTAATGCAAGAGCTTAAATGCTCAGCCATCTCAGCCCAATCAGGGCAGCACTGAAGAGCCACTGGGGATCCTAAGCTTCCTTTGAGATCAGCTGGGAATCGTTTCTCTGCCTACTCCTGTGGCCAGACCTTCCTCCTATGAGTGTGGCTCTCAGGGCATGCCCTATAAGCAGCCTGCTCAGTAAACTCCACCTTAGGAGAATCCAACTGGCAACCCCCACCCATACAGGGAGAAGGTACAATATAGGGCCTTTCTGGCTATCCATCCCCTCTCAATAACTGAGTCCTATGGAGAGGCACATCTTCTCTACAGCCGAGGGAACCAGGCAGCGGCAGAGCTGAAACTGGGACTCACGCCTCCTGACTTCCACACTTTTACCCTCTATTTGTTTACTTATTGCTCCTTCTTCCCTTTTTTTCATTCAAAAATCATCTACTTAGTACCTGCTCTGTGCCAGGCCCTGCCCTAGGGCTCTAGGCTCAGCACACTGCCTTAGCATGGTCAGAGCAAGCTGAGTACCCTTGTTCCCTCTGCTGACCCCTCTGCTCTTCCTCAGGCTCCATGCTGGAAAACTTTAGCGGCAACGGGGGTGGCGGCCCAGCAGGGCTGCTGCCCAACCCGCGACTGTCCGAGTTGTCTGCCAGCGAGGTGACCATGCTGAGCCAGCTGCAGGAGCGCCGCGACAGCTCCACCAGCACGGTCAGCTCTGCCTACACCGTGAGCCGCCGCTCCTCTGGCATCTCCCCCTACTTCTCCAGCCGCCGTTCCAGCGAGGCCTCTCCCCTGGGTGCAGGCCGCCCGCACAATGCCAGCTCGGCCGACTCCTACGACCCCATCTCCACAGATGCATCGCGGCGCTCAAGCGAGGCCAGCCAGTGCAGTGGAGGCCCAGGGCTACTCAACCTCACGCCTGCTCAACAGTACAGCCTGCGGGCCAAGTACGCGGCAGCCACCGGTGGCCCACCACCCACACCGCTGCCCGGCCTGGAGCGCATGAGCCTGCGGACCAGGCTGGCGCTGCTGGATGCGCCTGAGCGCGCGCTGCCTGCCGCCTGTCCACGCCCACTGGGCCCACGGCGGGGCAGTGATGGGCCAACCTACGGCCATGGCCACAGCCAAATGGGGGCTGCGCCCGCCTTCCCTCACGAGGCCCTGGGCAGCGGCGCTCGGCGGGCGAGTGACCCTGTGCGGCGGCCGGATGCCCTGGCTCTGCCGCGGGTGCAGCGCTTCCACAGCGCCCACAATGTGAACCCAGGCCTGCTGCCTCCATGTGCAGAGAGGCGAGGCCTCCGCCTGCAAAGCCACTCGAGTGCTGACAGCAGCCTAGCCCACAGCGCATATTCGCCCCGGCCGCCCAGCATCAGTGAGAACGTGGTGATGGAGGCCATGGCCGCCGGGACAGACAGTGTCGGACCTGACGCTGACCTGGAGCTTCAGGAGGACGACCTGGTGCTGCCCGATGACGTGGTACAGTACATCAAGGCGCATGCCAGTGGCTCTCAGGATGAGAGCTCTGGGCAGGTATATGCCACAGAAGGCACCAGTTTCTCAGACAACCCCAAACTGCCTAGCCCAGGGCTGCACAGCCAGCGCAGGATGGTGGCTGCAGATTCTGACCTGGGCCCCTCAGCCCCTGTGCTGGGAGGCTGCCAGCTGGGCTACGGGACCCCCTCCAGCCTGAACAAAGATAACATGCCTGTGCAATGGAATGAGGTGAGCTCCGGCACCATGGATGCCCTGGCTAGCCAGGCAAAGCAACCACCCTTTCCTCAGGGCAACCTTGCCACAGTGCAACAAAAGCCAGCCTTTGGCCAGTACCCAGGCTACAGTCCACAAGGCCTTCAGGAGAGCCCTGGGGGCCTGGACAGCACTCAGCCACACCTTCGGCCCCGGAGCAATACCTCCTCCACACCTAGGGTTAACTACATGCAGCAGCTGCGACAGCCAGCAACAGGTGGCCAGTGTGCCAACATGACCACCGTTATGAGCCCCCAGACAGGCTATGGGCAAGCCCACTCCCAGCTGAGCCCCAGCACCGTCAGTGGTGCCCTGAACCAGTTTCCCCTATCCTGCAGCAACATGACTGCCAAGCCAGGCCACCTGGGGCACCCTCAGCATGCAGAAGTTGCCCCTGACACCATCATGATGGGCAGTCGTCTTAGAGAACTTGGGGTCCCCAATTCTACCCTGGCTGGGGGCCCACCACCTCATCCAGTCCAGAGCTACCCACAACAGAGCCATCACCTGGCAGCCCCCATGAGCCAGGAAGGATACCGCCAGGGCCCTGGCCTCCTGCCTTCCCACCAGCCTGGCTTCATGGAGCCCCAGCCAGGCACAATGGGCGTGTCTGCTGCAAGCTTTGGCCTAGTGCAGCCCCGTCCACCCCTTGAGCCTAACCCTGCTGGCCGCCACCATGGAGTGCGTGCCGGACAGCAACAGTTGGCCTATGCCAGGGCCACTGGCCATGCCATGGCTGCTGTGCCAGCCAACCAGGAAACAGCGGAAGCTGTGCCCAAGGGAGTGATGGGCAACATGGTGTCGCTGCCACCTCAGCCGCCTCCACAGGACATGGGTGGGGCCCAGGACCACAGCATGCTCTACTATTATGGCCAAATCCACATGTATGAACAGGATGAAGGCCTGGAGAACCTCGGAGGCTGCCAGGTCACACGGTCCCAGCCACTGCAACCACAAGCCTGCCCAGACAGCATCCAGCCCCAGCCCTTGCCATCCCCGGGGGTCAACCAGGTGTCCAGCACCGTGGACTCCCAGCTCTTGGAGGCCCCCCAGATCGACTTCGATGCTATCATGGATGACGGCGATCACTCGAGTTTGTTCTCGGGGACACTGAGCCCCAGCCTCCTCCACAGCCTCTCTCAGAGCTCCTCCCGCCTCACCACCCCCAGAAATCCCCTGACTCTGCCCTCCATCCCCACAGGCATCAGCAACATGGCCGTGGGTGACATGAGTTCCATGCTCACCAGCCTGGCTGAGGAAAGCAAGTTCCTGAACATGATGACCTAAAGCTCAAGCCCCAGTGCCAACTGGACCCAGAGGGGCCATCACTTCCCAGAGCATGGAGGTTTCACCCTTTTTGCCTTTTTCCCAAAAAGTATTAAATAGACCTGAGGGATTTTTGTGAATGGCTAGTTCAGATGACAGATATTTTAAGAGAAGGTTTATGGGCATGTTCTCTGGTCTTTGGGTTATTTTTCAGAACACTTAAAAGGAAAAAGTCTCAATAGGAAAGGAAAAGAAGGAATGAAAAACCTACACACACACAGTGCTTTCCAGCCTTCCTTGTTTATGGGAATATGCTTTTCTGGCTTCTTTGCTTCCGTCTTTGGGCTAATGAGGGATTATATGGGCCAAGAGCTTTCTAAGGACATGCAGAAAGAGGGTAGGAGAACCACATGTGGGTTGGAATCTGAAAGCATAGTGGATATTCTGCTTCTAAAAGATGAGCTGATTGTTCTTCTGCCTGCAAAGAAAAGGAATTCCTGGCCTGTTCGAATTCTTCAATGAAGCTTAATGCTTGTGGTCTCTAATGTCCCTTGCCATGGAGAAACAAAATAGATTCTACCTGGGTGATTTGGAAGCACATCCTGATTCCAGGTTTGATAGACCGGGCATCTCTACCCCATAAAGCCACGTTTGGGACCTGCAGCCCATCCAAGTGTATATGAATAAACAGAGTATGTAAGTATCACCAGAAAAAGTAAAGAAATAATTGTACTACTTGGGGAAAATCCAGTCACTGCCCTGGCCTCTCCAGACCCTATTCAATGTTTGTATGTAGAATGTGGCCCTTCCTGAAAAGAACACTTGTCTCCATATACCTCGGGGCTGCTTTGATATTGTGGGGGGGTGACCAGGGCATGAGGAGGTGAGGGTGCACCTGGGGCCCAGCCTCAGGCTGCCCTGAGGGTCTCCCAGTAGGAAGAAGTCACATGTTTACCTGAATCCCTTTTCTCCACTACACTATCCCCCTACTTTACATGGAAAACTCCAGGGCTTGAAGGCAGCCTCTGCCCAGGCTCCCTAGGCTGCACCACCCACTCACCAGCAGCCCGGAAATCTCCACCATGCCACAGCAGTCTGTTCTGGTATCATCTGGATTCCCTTCTCTCCGCCCTCTTGGTCATTTGTCAGAGAATGATGACATCCATGGTGTTCTGGGTGAGGGTGGAAAGGTGAAGGGGTTGGTCCTTTGGACTCTGATGGACTGTCACTAATTTTTCCCGTTTGGTATGACCAAGCCCCACCTAGAAATGGAATTTGGAACTGGCTTCAGAAGACATCATTCCTGAACATAACCGTAGGGCGACGTGGTGCATCTTCCACACACCACACACATGAGTACACAAACGTGTATCCCCAAACTTCTCATGTCGAATTTGTGGCATCCTTGCCAAACCAATGACACTACTTTGAGCTTGATTCTGGCTGTGGCCCTGGCTTCAATGAGGACTGTCCTAGGAGAATCTGTAGACAGGGCCGAAATTATCTGGGCCTTCTGCATCTCAACACATTAATCTCTGTTAAGGTCCAGAGACAAGGCCAACTCCAAACCTGAGCCAAGGGACATTGCCAACAGTCTGTGGCTCTGTGGTGGTGGTCATTCATTTCACTCGCCATTCCTGACCTGTGTATATTCTGTACAGAAGACACCGTCCCTGAATATACTGTAGGTGAATCGTTCAGCCAAATTTATATTTCCAAAACATTTTTAGCTTTTTCTACATGCTATGAATTGAAATGACATGCTCAAATTGTAAATACGTCTTTTTGTACATTAAAAAAGTAATTTTTTCATAATTTATCTTGTCTGTCTGCTTCTCCCTTGACAGTAGTTAATGAGAACCTGGCAGTAAATTTGGTGCATTTGAACAGAAATTAGGCAGTATTTTTTCTTAATGGTGTCAAAATTGACTATCCTGCCTTAGCCAAGAAATGTTTAATGCTGAGGCATTTATTGGCTGTTTGTTCATCATCTCCTTGGGGGTGGGCAGGGTTCGATGTTTTACAGTGGATATCTGGCTGTTCCTCCAGTGACTGGTCTGAATATCTACGTTGATTTACAGGGCATAGAACCAAACCTTCCACAAACCAGAGTCCTCTTTCTGATGGAGCACATTTGGTTTGGGGTGGATGTGGAGCGGAGAAGATGAGCAGCTCCCCCAGGCTCTCATGCAGGCAAAATGAGATATCCCAAGCAGATAGATGGCAACTCCAGGATGGTCAGCACCCAGCTGTGAGCAAAAAGGCCCATGGAGCCCTGCTATGAGTGGGAGCCAAGACCCTTGGGTGGCCACCTGACAGGATAGGGAGTGCCTGGGTCTGACAAGCTGTTGACAGCAATCGAGCCATTGCAGTAAACCTCAAGGGAGCCCATGAGTGAGGTGTGAGGCTCTGCCTGGGTTTGGGACAGATTTTGGAACTGAGGTTGGGGGGTAGGGAAGGAAGCCCCAGGACTGAGTCAGTATTGGAGGCTCCTTCTGAGGGCCAGCATGCCAGGTGTCTACACTTCTAGCCCAGCCTCCCCTCCAGGAGAAAGCCTTAGCATACAAATTGGACTATCTGGAGATCAAAGCCACATGGGGCATCACCTTTGCCTAGAGGGCATTCAGCTCAAAACTAGTTCTGTGGGATGAAACCAAGTGGATAGAACCTCTAAGGAAAACAGCATTCAGCAGATTTCTTTGCTGCAGGCATCCCAGAGCCTTCACTGTGTGGCAGGGGAACCGGGATTCAGGCCAGTTTCTTGTTGGAAAGATTGCAGTCTCCGGGGCTCAATCCTCCCTCCTTCCCAAGGAGGATTGACTGTCTGACGCACACATATACAAGAGGAACTGACCATGCCTGGTTCTGCCCTTTGCTGTCCTTTGAAAGCTTATCTTCATTCCTTCTCTGCTTCGCCAACTCTTCTGTCTCAGAAGCAGCTCTGCCCTGCTTTGTGGGGAGGGAGAGCCCTAATGTGATTCAATGCTGTTTTGGATGAGGTGACCCGGGTATTAAGGAGCCCATCATGGCCTTTCAGCAGAGCCTCCTCCTCTGTATCTGCTGGGACCACAGTTGTGCTGCATGACAATGTGAAACCTCAGCACCATATAACAATAAATATTTATTTAGCTCACAAACCTGTGGGTTAGCTGACGCAGGCTGGACTTGCCTGGGCTGGGTCAGCTCAGGTCAGCTAATCCGGACAGCTTGTCCTTGCTCCGCGTAGCTTTCGCTTTCCTCCCAGGCTCAGGATGCTACCAATGGCAAAAGCACAGGAGGGCACACAGACAGACACAGGTCCCCAAAGCAAGTCACAGGGCCACATCCATCATCACAAAGTGGGGAGGAGTAGAATGTAGGAGGGAGGAGTAGGAGTAGAATGGGGAGGGGGAAAGTGAATGTTTCTCAACAATCACACGTTCTACCACAGTCTGTCCTGGTAGGGACAACTGTTAATGTCCCACAGGAGGGCACTGGAAAATTTGCCCTTGGCAGCAGAGCACCTTTCAGCCTCTTCCTGCCTGTAGGAAGTTGCGAGTCTCAGGTCCTTTATGTTTCAGTCTGAAGTTCTCCTTCAGCACACACTGCCAAGGCATTTGCCTGTGGCACTTTATCGAACTTCCTCTGGGCTGTCTGTGTGTTTGAGTCCAGGCCAACCATGTGCCAGATGCCACGTCCACAGTTCCTTTGGTGATGAGCCTCCCTCTGCATTTGCTAACTGGGGCCACCACACCAGGCTGCTGTGGGCCGTGCCCTGAAGGTTCCTAAGCATCCTATTGTGGCTAAAAGGATATTGTGGGTGCTGCCTTACTCTTTTCAGATGAAGGGCATTATAGTCAAGTGCACAACCTTGATTTTGTCTCTACTTTGAGACTTATTTCACTGGCTCTGCCCTGGATTTGGTCTTGACCTCCCAGCCAAATCTTAATTTAAGGATCTTTTACTGACTGGAGAAGGCTAAAAATGAGAAATAATTTTGTTTTCTAAATTCTGCTTCTAAGCAGGCCAGTTCCATTCATTAGCAGCTCAAAGAAGCTCATGTTTACAATGTCCTACCTGGAAACCATTCTGCCCAACTCCACTAATTCATAGGTACATTTTTCTCCCAAATTATTACAGGCAAATGTCACTCTGCCAAATAACCCAGGTTGCCACTTTTCTTGCAATTTTGTCAGCCTCTTCTAAGTTCCCTCACTGCTCAGTTCCATACTTATGTTGTGTATTTTAGGAGCAGCTGTCCCTTATACAAGATATCAGTTACTGAAGCCTAATAATGCTGCCTAATTAAAACACCTATCAACAAGAAGCATGTCGTTAGCTGATGGATCCACCAGTCAGATGAGGTGGGCTAACCTAGGATGGGCTTGCTGAGGAGGCCCAGCCCTGCCCCATGCCCCTCCTGCCCTGGGGCCAGAGGAGTGCACCAACATTTAGTGGTGAAAGCAAAAGTACAAACAGGCAAGTGAGAATACGAGAGGAATCTTTGGGCCTAGTCTAGGAATAGGAGGAAGTCTCATAGCTGAGCTCCAGGTTAGTGGAAGGGGGAAGCACATTCCTATACAATGAGGGGAGATGGGTATGGGAACGGTAATCCCACCTACCCCACCTGCAGACTCAGCTCTTCATACAATAAGACTGACATTGTAACCTCCATCTGTCTCTTGAGTCTGTGTTGGTTCTAAACCCAGAAGAGGAAAAGAGAAGTGGCACCCTGTAGCCACTGATATGCTGAAGCCAGCTCCTGTGTCTCTTCCCAGCTCTGAGTTCAAAGACTTCACACTGGTGACTTAAAACTGTCTGTGTCGGGAGAATTTACACCATGGGAATCAGCAAACACTACAAATCAAGGCTCCCCCCTCCTCATCACCAGAGGACTTGTGAACACTTACCAGCATATATCACAGCATCCCCATTACATGATAGATAGTTTGATGTGCCCAGTGGTCCCTTCCAAGTTCTGTCCACAGAACTCATTTTGTGGAGCACCTTCTGAGTCCAGAATGCCATGGGCATGGCTACCT